TTGGCCGCAGCCGGTGGCAAAAACTTGTTCAAGCCAAAAAGCCGCGCCGCAACGGACCCTCGGTCTGAACGGGGGCGGGCGCTTTTGTCCCCAGATCCAGCCCTCAGGTGACCGTGGTTGATCCTCTTGGCCTCAAAAGCCGTTCCTTATCTTCCGGATGAGCCCAGTGCAGTGCCGTCACTGGTGCGGTGAAGGTGCTCGCCGGGTCCGAGGGGTTTCGGTGGGGCTGAGCTGCACCTTGGGTGGCTGTGGAGGCGTCACCAGCTCTGCAGGACAGATCAGCGTCTGTCCTGAGGAAGGGGGGTGGCTCTTAGGACCGTCACTTTGGGAGGTAATTGGGAATTTTGGGTTCCAAACCCTTCTTGCCTTTTGTGGAATTCCCCGCTGCTATCTGAACCAGGGTGCCCTTGGACACTGCTCTCCAGACAGGTGGAGACAACCATCTCTCCTTTCGTGGTCCTTCGAGACTTGCACCAGTACAGAGCTTTTGTGACCTTCAGTCACCTCCCTCTTGCCATTGGCAGGCGAGAAATAACGCATAAACCTCTTTAAAGCGGCTTTGTGGCAGAAAGGTCGCCCGTGCCAGCTGGCAAGGTGGCGTGCCTCTCGCATCCTCCACTCACCAGCTCCGTCCCTGCGTCCCTCCATCCCTCCATCCATCCCTCCATCTCTCCATCCATCCCTCCATCTCACCATCCATCCCTCCATCCCTCTCTCCCTCCATCTCTCCATCCATCCCTCCATCTCACCATCCATCCCTCCATCCCTCTCTCCCTCCATCTCTCCATCCATCCCTCCATCTCACCATCCATCCCTCCATCCCTCTCTCCCTCCATCTCTCCATCCATCCCTCCATCTCACCATCCATCCCTCCATCCCTCTCTCCCTCCATCTCTCCATCCATCCCTCCATCTCACCATCCATCCCTCCATCCCTCTCTCCCTCCATCTCTCCATCCATCCCTCCATCTCACCATCCATCCCTCCATCCCTCTCTCCCTCCATCTCTCCATCCATCCCTCCATCTCACCATCCATCCCTCCATCCCTCTCTCCCTCCATCTCTCCATCCATCCCTCCATCTCACCATCCATCCCTCCATCCCTCTCTCCCTCCATCTCTCCATCCATCCCTCCATCTCACCATCCATCCCTCCATCCCTCTCTCCCTCCATCTCTCCATCCATCCCTCCATCTCACCATCCATCCCTCCATCCCTCTCTCCCTCCATCTCTCCATCCATCCCTCCATCTCACCATCCATCCCTCCATCCCTCTCTCCCTCCATCTCTCCATCCATCCCTCCATCTCACCATCCATCCCTCCATCCCTCTCTCCCTCCATCTCTCCATCCATCCCTCCATCTCACCATCCATCCCTCCATCCCTCTCTCCCTCCATCTCTCCATCCATCCCTCCATCTCACCATCCATCCCTCCATCCCTCTCTCCCTCCATCTCTCCATCCATCCCTCCATCTCACCATCCATCCCTCCATCCCTCTCTCCCTCCATCTCTCCATCCATCCCTCCATCTCACCATCCATCCCTCCATCCCTCTCTCCCTCCATCTCTCCATCCATCCCTCCATCTCACCATCCATCCCTCCATCCCTCTCTCCCTCCATCTCTCCATCCATCCCTCCATCTCACCATCCATCCCTCCATCCCTCTCTCCCTCCATCTCTCCATCCATCCCTCCATCTCACCATCCATCCCTCCATCCCTCTCTCCCTCCATCTCTCCATCCATCCCTCCATCTCACCATCCATCCCTCCATCCCTCCATCCCTCTGTCCATCCCTCCGTCCCTCCATCCATCCCTGTCCCCCCTCCCCGCCGTCTCCCTGGCAACGCTGAGTGCACATCCTGGAAAACTTTATCCGAAATCTGCTCTGGGCAGCTCTCCAAATCCATGCTAACCTGATTAGGTCTCTCTGGGGCCCGGGCTGGCTAATCAAATTAGCCAGCACTAATGGCAGGGAGGGCTTTGAGTGGGCAGAGAGCAGCAAAACACAGTGTATACTTAGTGATAATTATACTTGCTTTTGTGTCAGTGATTTATATGCCTTCTCCCCTCC